CCTAAAAATTCCTGAAAAGAATAAATTCGTGTTTGCTCGCATATCGTCAATAACTCCGTTATTTCTGATTCCTGCTCCTTATTATTGTAAAGAAATCTTTCAATATTAGGGATCTTTTTCATCGAGCTTTCATTATCATGCGTATTATTAGGTTGATAAATATTATTTTTGCATTGCGGCTTTAAACGTGATTAAGATCGGAGAAGCTAGCTTTTCAGAGGTATTTGCGGGTTATGCGCCCAAGTTTACCTCGGTAAAAACAAAGTGCGTGTTCAAGATAATCCCATTTGGACGCGGAAAAGAGGTCTTAATAAACGGCGAAGAGCAATGTAGTATAAAGGACATATCACAAGAGGTTAAAATAACACGAGAGTTAGGAGGAAAGACTGGGCTTGACCCTTTACTGAGAGTCGGTTTCTTGCAATTATACAGGTACAAAGATAAAATAATATGCTTTTAATCCATATGAAAATACTTTTTACTTTGGTAATCAACGCTATTTAATTCGCTATTAGTGTCGGTATATGTCGTGGTAAATATCCTATAGAATTACTTGATGAATGGGATAGATGGGATGCAGAATTTAATTCAGAAAACGATCGCCCTGGTATTCATGTTATATAATCCGTATTTCACTTGTGCTCACAATTTTTCAAAAATATTAACCGACTGATATTCATTAGACTATTTCGATGCCAAACAACTTTATGTAATATTTGTTGTTGAGCATGGAGGAATTTCCCTTGAAGACTTTAAGCTAAAGAACTGGGAACAAGCCTGGAGTCTACTTATTCAAGTTGGATTGGCTTTAGCTCAAGCCGAACAGGTATATATAACCGTATCTAATGAAATTCATAAATTTAATTTATTACTAATATATAAACTGCTAACTATTTCAGTCTCTAAAATTTGAAGTGAGTTATTTTCGTTGATATAAATTTTTATATAAATCGTAAAAATTTCACTATCATCTTAATGTTCCATTTTAAAGCACAGGGATCTACATTGGGGTAATATTACAATAAAACCCACGAAGAATAAGATCGTATCATATGAATTACTCTCGGCGGAAATCAATGTACAAGTTCCTACACATGGCATACGCGCTTTTATAATTGATTATACATTGTCTCGTATGCAATGCGGTTTGTATGAAAATAGCTTTGATATTTCTATGCTTAGAAATTTGTATTGACCATTTTCTTATATACTTAGGAAATGAGATTATCTATGTTGATATTTTAGACGAAGGATACTTTACAGGCCAGGGTACGTGAACTTGATTTAGAATGTTTAAAAAAAAATATTTTTAATTTATTGTACGGATTTGCAGGAGATTATCAGTTCGATATTTACCGCATGATGCGTGAAGAGACTAAGGGTGACTGGAGGTCATTTTGCCCAAAAACGAATGTATATGTAAGTTTAATTAGTGTTATATTTAATTTGCTTTCAATTTGTCCGTTCAATTTTTAAACACATAGTATACGCTATTAGTGGCTGCATTATCTCGCGGATAAACTCTTAACCTCTAAGAAGTTACCAAAGCCAAGGAAACTCAGTGAACAACATCGATATTTCGATGCAATTACTGGATTCAGGAAACGTGCATTAAATAAAGGAGGCTACAGGAGCGCAATTGACGCGATAACAAGTGATGACTTTTGGCGAATATAAACAAAAAAATATATTCTTAACTGCAACCAATGAAAATTTATTAAACCAAAATTTTAGATTTTGATTACATAATTTAGTGTTTTATTAATGGGGACGTTGTTGATTATTATCTGATCTGTATATATGTATATTTTGTCCATACTTTTCTTTCAACCAAGACTCGAGTAGGTACAAATTGTACAAATTTGATTTATATAAAACATCAAGAATATCACCTTTAATATGAAACATGAAATGTATAATTTCAGTAAAGTGAATTTTGATGAAGATTAATTATGTTCATAATTACCTATGTAAGGAATAATTCCAATAATCGCATCAATAAAAACGTGTAATAACATTTGAGCTATTAGC